TTGTTCTCACTGTCAGGAAGTTTCTCCTTCGTTCTAGGTTGCTTCTCTCCTTGATTAATAATAATAATAATAATAATAATAATAATAATAATAATAATAATAATAATAATAATAATAATAATAATAATAATAATAATAATAAAGTTGGAAGGGACCTTGGAGGTCATCTAGTCCAATCCCCTGCTCAGGCAGGTAACCCTACACCATTTCGGACAAATGCCTGTCCAGTTTCTTCTTGAAAACTTCCAGTGTTGGAGCATTCACAGCTTCTGGAGGCAGGTTGTTCCACTGGTTAATTGTTCTCACTGTCAGGAAGTTTCTCCTTAGTTCCAGGTTGCTTCTCTCCTTGATTAGTTTCCATCCGTTGCTTCTTGTCCTGCCTTCAGGGGCTTTGGAGAATAGCTTGACTCCCTCTTCTTTGGGGCAGCCCCTGAGATATTGGAACGCTGCTATCATGTCCCCCCTGCTTGGGAAAAAAACAGGGGGTTTTCTCTATTTTCTTCCAATGGCTTTGGAAGAAAGAAAAAAAAATGGGGGGGAAAACAGCCCCAAAGGTTGAGGCCCTCTGATCTAACCCACTCTCCATGCACACCTCCGCTGCCCAAAAACACCCCAGTAAAAGAAGTGTCTTCCCAAAGCAGCTTATTCCCTTGATGAACAGCGATTTCCAGAAGAAAATCCGTCCTGAAACTGAATTAGAGAATGGAAAGGGGTTGCGAGGGGACCTTAGAGACCATCTAGTCCAGCCCGTTGCCCAGGGCTGGAATCCACCCCTGGCCATCTGTCGAAACCCCTTCAGCATGGGAAAGTTCTTCCCTCTCCTCTTTCGCATTAAATAGCTCCCTTCAGTCCTCCACTTACGGCTACAGCTGAGCCCAAAATTTCTGTTGCTAACCGAGGCAGTCGTTAAGTGGGGTTTTGCCCCGTTTTATGACCTTTCTCACCACGGTTGTGAAGGGAATCCTTGGCAACCGAGTGAGTGACATTTTCCGGTGCTGATGTAACTTCGGTCACTGAATGGAACCGTCGTAGGTCGAGGACTACCTGTATTTTGTCCCGATCTGATGTCCAGCGAACTTTAGCCTCAGTTGGGTCAACTTTCATTCCTGGTTCTCCTTTGGCAGCTGGACGGAAAGTACGACGTGGGCGGGGGAGAGCGATTCGACACGCTGGCCGACTTGGTGGAGCACTACAAGAAAAACCCCATGGTGGAGAAGTCCGGGGTGGTGGTACACCTGAAACAGGTAAGTTGGTCACCTGTGCCGAACGTTTAACTGGGGACTGGGGGGGGGGAGGAANATAAAGTTTAGTTAAATCTCTCTTGGGAAGACCTGCTTAATTATTAAATATACTTGATAGATGTTCTGCTTCTTCTGGGCCAGCAAATATTCGGGGAGCAGCGAGCAGGGATTAAAACTGTAGCCAGCCCATCGAATTGAACAGAAGCTCTGCTCCGTTGCATTTTATCCAAAACCTGCCTGCAGTCTTGAGTCTGGGGGCAAACACCCCAGAGATGCTTGGCCTCAGGGTCCAGCAGCCGGGACGGCAAACGGCATAGCTAGCTAAGCTCCATTCAGCCAAATCTGAGGTCGCCCATAGAACGCTACTGTGGGTCATCCATGCAGGGAGCATGTAATAAGGACGTCTTAGTGGGGAAACAGTCTATAAAAAATGAAAATGAATGATGATGAGGATCTGTTGGAGATCATTTAGAATTCAAGCGCAAAAAGGGGTCAGACTAGATCTTTAAAAGCCAAAAAGGGGGTTGGATTAAATGACGTTTAAGTTCCGAACAGGGCTGGACTAGATGACCTTGAAGATCCAAAATGGTCAAAGCTAATTGGTGGTAAATAAGGAATTCAAGGCGGGCTGGACTTAGATCTCTTGTGAGCCTGAAGGGATTCATGACTGATGACGCGTTTGACCCCTCCCTCGCGCTCAGCCTGGTCCTTTCCTACAGACTAGATGACCGCTAAGATCCAAAACGGGGTTGGACTAGGCCGCTAAGATCCAAAACAGGGTTGGACCAGATGACCTCTAAGATCCCAAATGGGGTTGGACTAGATGACCTTTTAAGCTCACCCTCCACCTCCTGCGCCCCGTGAAGAAACCCAGCTGCCCATCTTATTAATACTGGGGTGTTCTTTGTTTTTCTTTTGCCCCCATCTCCCCCCCCCCATCCCTCCAGGTGGTTCCATCCAAACATCAGCGGGATTGAAGCAGAAAAACTGCTCCTAACCAGGGGCATCCATGGCAGTTTTTTGGCCCGGCCGAGTAAAAGCAACCCCGGAGATTTCACTTTATCGGTCAGGTAGGTACTGCAATTGTGTCTCTCGTCAAGGGCTACCTGCACACTTAGTTTTCATTTTATAAACAATTTTTTCCCTTGCACATCTGTCACGGTGATCCCCTCTATTGTTCCGTTTAGCCTAGAATATTTCCCAGTTTTCATATTCTGAAAACTTGCTGCACGTTGCATGCCTTCTGCTTATATTTAATTGAGGGCGCTTTCAATATTTAATTACTTCTTCTTCTTCTTTTTTTAAAAGGTAGGTCATATTTCCTGCATGGAGAAAAGGAGAGAGAGGAAAGAATTCTCTTTCCGGCATAAGGAGAGTTAATTCTGTTTGGCCCAGTTTAAAAGCTGCTGCCTTTTCACCGGGAGCCCATTTCCGAGGCTCCCGTTAATTGCATTTTAAAGGCACTTTGGAGACAGTCTACTTAGAGAGCCCAGCCAGACTCCAGATATTTGATGGATGAGTTTGGTCAGAGAAAAAAAAAACAGCTCTCCCATTTCTTAATCAAGCTTTTTTTTTTGGTTTTTTTTTTGCTTTTTTAAAAGAAAGATAGATAAGCGAGGGGACCCAAAGAATACACAAACAAGCACAGTTCTGCTTTTACGGCAGTGGTGCTAGCCGAAGATCCAGTTCATTGTCTTTTTTTTTTTTTTTTTTTTTAAAGCAAGCTTCTAGATCTCAGGACCATAAAGATAGTCCTCAACTTATAACTGTTTATTTAGTGACCGTTCAAAGTTACAGAGAGAGAGAGAAAGAAGGCTTCTTGCATGCCTGAAAAATATCTTACCTAGATTTGGGGTGAAAAGGATATTTAACCCAGATGTAAAAGAAAGTGATAACTGGGTTTGTTTTTCGGTTGTACAGAATTTCTGGCTTCGGGACAGGTCAATTCTAGATTGCTTTTTGGCTAATCTTGAAATCTGAATGATCTGTACCAATTTACAAAACATTTCAGCAGCCGTTCAATTTCCCTCGCTCTATTTTTTCCCCCTCTCTCTGCTTTGTAATCTTCCAGCTTTCTTTTCAACCTTTTTTTTTTTTTTTAAAGTCAAACTCGATGCAATTGTTGGATTAACCAAACAGCCACCTCGGTGCCTTAAAACACCCGAAAAGCTATCTGCCACAATAAAATAGGAATTAAAAAAAACAAACCACCCGATCCTCGCGCAATTTATTCCGGAGCGAGTAAGACATATTATAATATAAACCTGCGTTCCAGAACGCAGCTGCTCTAATTCAGTGCTGTATCGTTCGTTTTTTGTTTTTTTTTAATGGATGATTCCTTCATGCTGGTGGTTTTAATGGGCTTTAATGGACTGACCTAGCATTTTTTTGTCATTAAAAATACTTGCGTTGGTTGAAGTTCTGTATTATCTGCCTTCTTCATACATGCAAAGATAGATTTGGACCAGAGCTAGGCACGCTTCAAATGTGGTTCGAAGGACGGATACGCCCTTGGGATCCTGTTTGGTTAAATTTTTAGGAGAAGGAAAAAAATCAAACTTTTTGGGTGGATGGATGGAGGGAACAGGAAGTTGATTCCCAACAACACAATATCCTTATTGTGCCTTCGCTCTGCTCCTACGGTGACTCATCCTTGCCCTCTTGCCACAGTCTTGCCGGCGGCCCGCCCGTTTGCAAAATGTCTCCCAAAATTAGGAAACGTCTGATGTGACATAGGGTCTCTCGGCTTCCTTTAAAAAGCTGGTTGGAGGCTTCCAGGATACAGTTGTGGGTCTGCCTCACACACAGGGTGGTGTGGCCTGGTGGCAGTCCGAAGGCCCTTCTTTACGGGCCAGCATCAGTTTAAATTTTGGGGAGAAATTAACGCAGGGAAAAGTCAAAAAGATTTTAAACGCGGCTTCAAGTCTTTGTGCCGCGAGAATTGATTGGCAAAGAGGGGTTGGGGGTATCCCAGCAGTCCTCGGCGTATGACCACAATTGAGCCAAAATTTCTGTGGCTAAGCCAAACAGTTAAGCCCCGTTTTACGACTTTCCTTGCCACAGTTTGGAAATGAATCCCTGCGGGCTGTTAGTAACGCAGTTGTTAATGTGACCCTTGACTTTGCTGGTCAGAAGGCCTCAAAGACCGTCATAAATACGAGTCATTTGCCAAGCATCTGAATTTTGATCCCCCCGACCGTGGGAGGCTGCAACGGCCGTAAGTGTGAAAAAGGCTCGTAAGCCACTTTTTCCAGTGATGATGTGACTTTGAGCGCTCACTAAACGAACTGCTGTAAGTTCAGGACGACATATTCATTCATTCATTTCATCCTGCCTTTGTCATTTTAACAAATGTGCATACAGTATATTATCTGATGTTTTATCCCTGCTGCGGACAGAATCGCAGCCTGTGTTTATTTTTATAATCTCCGGGCGTCTTTTGGAAAGCTGCCCTGGGGGGAGAATCGGAGTTATATGGTGTCCATCCGTCATCCTTTCCCTCCCCGATTCTTGATGGCAGGAGGAACGATGAAGTGACCCACATCAAAATCCAAAACACGGGCGATTATTATGACCTCTACGGAGGGGAAAAATTCGCTACCTTGGCGGAGCTGATTCAGTACTACACCGATCAGGAGGGCCTTCTGCGCGAGAAAAACAGCAACACCATCGAGTTACGGTTTCCACTCAATTGCCAGGATCCGACCTCAGAAAGGTGAGTTGTGCAGGCAGGTGAAGGCAGCCAGCCCACGCAGGTCCTCCCGCTGGAGGATCGTGCTGGGGGATCGTGCTGGCCTACCTGATAAGATCGCTTGCGAGGATGGAGAAAAGGCTGCGGGAACGCTCGGAATTTCTTCTTGGACTGGGCGATGGGTTTAAAACGTTCCCGCGGATTTGTCTGGGGAGATTGTCGGTCATCCAGTTGTCTTAAAAGTGCTTTTTCAAAAGGCAGCTGGGCTAGGTTTTTTTTGAGGCAGACGACGATTAACCACTAATTTGTTCCTGGTGGACATGGGGAACATTTATGTCACTCAGTCGCCTCCTTCACGTGAATTCAAAACTGTGAGCCAGTAGGGATTTGGGGGCAGTTTTCCCCTCTGCCTTTTTCCAGGATGTTCCTCCGATTTCTAAGATTGTCCCAGCTTCCTAGGCTTTCCAGGTGGTGCCCCGTCCGAACACCAAGCCGTCTGGCCCGAAAGCAAAGAATCCTGGGAGTCGTAGTCCAGCAGCTGTACCCCACCATTGGAAATGTAAAGGGCCTGGTAGGCCAGTGGGTGCATTTATGTGCAGCCCACCCACCTCCCGTTCCTTTGCTCAAATTGGCTTTTACATCCAAGGGTGATGCTGCAAGGGGATAGAGGGCGGGCGCCCTCTAGAGGCCAGAGTAGGACATGCACCCTTCCGGGACCCTTCTGATCGATTTTTGAAATGTAAACCCCATACAAAATAGGAGGGTGAGAAGGCAGATCATTAAATGTGCAAATTTATGAGGTTCCTCGCTGACAAATCCCCCCCCAAAAAGCAGGAAGAAGGGTGGGAAAGGGTCTCCAGGGCTAGGATTAGGGTAATGTCTCTCCACTGAGGGTGGGGGGGGCGCAGAGGGGAGTTTGATCTTTCCCATTGAAAAACCAACCTGTCTTTTTTTTCAGATGGTATCACGGCCACCTGACCGGCAAGGAAGCCGAGAAACTCCTCACCGACAAAGCCAGATCCGGCAGCTTTTTAGTCCGCAGCAGTCAAAGCAAGCCGGGCGACTTCGTCTTGTCCGTTCTGACAAACGAGGACAAAGCTGACACGGGGGACCGGAAACCGCGGGTGACCCACATCATGATCCGCTACCAGGTCAGGACCCGCGACGATCCCGCTTTCTTTCAGCCTGCCTCTCGGGAGGGTGTCAAAAAGGGTAGACTGGAAGGGACCTTGCAGGTCATCCATACGTAGTCCTTGACTTATCTAGAGATTAATAATAATAATAATAATAATAATAATAATAATAATAATAATAATAATAATAATAATAATAATAATAATAATAATAATAATAATAATAATAAAGTTGGAAGGGACCTTGGAGGTCATCTAGTCCAACCCCCTATACCATGTCAGACAAATGGCTGTCCAGTCTCTTCTTAAAAACTTCCAGTGTTGGAGCATTCACTGCTTCTGGAGGCAGGTTGTTCC